AAAGTGTTACTTCAAGAGACTTTTGAACAAACGATAACAGGGAGCTTTGTTTGTACTTCACCATAGTGTTGACCTGCAAGAGAGAAATCAGTGTAGTGTTCTGTTTTTAAATGTCTCTTAAAGTGTCCTTTAAGCGCCTTTGTCTTTGAAAAGTCAGTGTTTCATTAAATGCAAGCTGAGCATTGCAGAATGCAGTGCTGTGAAGAGAAGGGCAAGACACAATCAGAGCACAAGCGTATTAGTATGCACACACAAGCACACATCTACTTCATTGTTTCTAAAGCAGGCATGGGCAAACTTTGACCCTCCAGGTGTTTTGGATTTCAATTCCCACAATTCCTAACAGCCTCGGGCCCTTTCCTTTTCCCCCTCAGCCACTTAAGTTTCTCAAGTCGTTCCTGACACAAAAAGAAATCCTGAAATGTACAAAGGTTTCTTCCAACTCTTCGATTCTATGATTCTATGATTCTATCCAGCTCTGATAAGGCCTACCTCACAATGTCTCAATGTCAACTCTGCCAAATCTTTTTGAGTAGACTCCCTTTGTGGTTCTTTCTTTCTTTCCTCCATTTCCGTCATACACCTTCTCCCTCACTCTTTTCTCCATCTCTTTCCTTCTTCCCTTGCTTTTCCTTATACACTTTCTTTCTTTCTTTCTTTTCCCCCCTCCCTTTCTCCCTTCTTTCCTTTCTCTTCCTTCCCTCCTTTAAGTTTACTTCTTTTTTCTTTCTTCCCTCCTTTCTTCCCTCCTTTCTCCCCTTTCTGTTTTCTATCTTCCTCTTTCTTTCCCTACCCACATATTTTTCCTCCCTCCCTTCAATACTTTTTCTTTCTCCTTTCTCCCTTTATTTTCCCTTTGTTTCTTTTGCTATTTCTTTTCTTCCCTCCCTCCATTCTTCTCTTCTGTCTTTTCCCTTCTCTTCTTTTTCTTTCTTCCCTCCCATAATCCCTTTCCCCCCTTCCTTTCTTTTTGCTTCCTCCTCTTTCTTTCTTTCCCTACCCTCATATCTTTTCCTCCCTTCTATATTTTTTCTTTCTCCTTCCTCCCTTCCTTCATTTTCCCTTTCTTTCTTTTGCTTCTATTTCTTTTCTTTCTTTCTTCTCTCCCACCCTCCCTCCCTTCTTTCCTTTTTCTTCCTTCCTTCCCCTTCCCTTCTTTTTCTTTCTTTCTTCCCTTCTTCCCTTCTTTCTCCCCTTCCTTTGTTTTTCTTTCTTTCTTTCACTACCCTCAAATCTTACCCTTCCTCCAATACTTTTTCTTTCTCCTCTCTCCCTTCATTTTCCTTCTTTTGCTATTTTTCTTTCTTTTCTTCCCCACTCCTTTCTTTTCTTTCTCTTCCTTCTTTTCCCTTCCCTTCTTTTTCCTTTCTTCCCTCCCATAATCCCCTTTTTCTCCCCTTCCTTTCTTTTCACTTCTTTCTCTTTCATTCTTTATCTATCCTCATATGTTGTAAAATGAAATATATGAAGATTTATGGGGCACAAGTACTTGTCAAACTGGGTTTACACTGTATAGTTTTTCATGAATCCCACACTGGAATAGGGATCTTTGCTAGTGAAAGCCAGGATGTGGGATCTTGTTACTAATGAGATCAGGGATTTGACTGCAGCCCAGAGGTGGAAAGAGACCTTTTGCCTCGAAAACCTCAAATGCCTTCAGTGCTCTGGAGAGATATCATTGTGTCTCCTCCTCCTCCTCATCCCTCCACACCCATCTCTCGTTTTTCTGCCACCAAGCTGCGGAATGTGATAAAAAAAAACTCTGGTCTGCGGGCCCACCCCATTAGCGAAATGACAGCATTGCAGAGGATATAGCACGAATCCCTTGGGAAAGCTTTAGGAGCAGGGTTGAAATACTGCACAGATGGAGAAGGAAATTGCTCCTGCTCATAGCATAAGCTCCAGCGCATTTACAGATCTTGTATCAATTCTCAAATAGCTATGCCACTGAACTTGCAGGATGCCAAACAAGGTAGCCATCCAGAACACCATGGGACATGAGATATATCATGATTTTTTTCGGGGGGGGTGTAATTTAGTTTGCCTGGGGTGTAGTGTCCGTCCCCCCACACACACACACACACACACACACACGCAAATGGAACCCCAAGCCCTCTCCCTCTATAGTAGAAAATCTCCTAGTTGTCTCTGATCATACAGTGGGAACAAACCAGAAAACCGAACTGTATTTTGATATGTTCAATTGAAGTTTTAAGTAAATGCTAAACTTTTAGAAACTGAAGGGAAATTTCATTTCATAAAATCATGGAATCATAGAGTTGGAAGAGACCTCGTGGGCCACCCAGTCCAACCCCTTGCCAAGAAGCAGGAAAATCGAATTCAAAGCACTCTTGACAGATGGCCTCTGTGTAAAAGCCTCTAAAGAAGGTGCCTCCACCACACTCGAGGGTTCCACTGGTGAGTCTCCTCTGAAGGTTTTAAAGCAGGGGCTGGGTGGTCATCTGTTGGCAGGCATGTAGCGGGGGGGGCTCGAGGGGCTTCAGCCCCCCCCCCCGAAATTCTCATGGTGGTTCGCGAAAAGGCCTTACTGGTGCATTATTTAAACTGTTATGTTTATTCATATCATGATCTGATCACCATACTCAATATATCCCATATGCATGGGGGTATTGGGGTAATGATACAAAAGGTTTGCTAGGCTAGACCCTCTTTCACTCAGACTCAACCCCCCCCCCCCCGCTCATCCCCCCCCCCCCCCCCCCCTGAAATTTTTTTTAGCCCCCCCCCCCCCCCCCCCCCCCCCCGAAACGAAATCCTGGCTACGGGCCTGTCTGTTGGGAGTGCTTTGATTGTAAGGCAAGGGGTTGGACAGGATGGCCCTTGTGGTCTCTTCCAACTCCATGATTCTACAAGTTAGCTAGCATTGCCCTCTTGATGTGCAATGGGAAGTCACTGCTAACTGTGGGAGAAAAAGGTTGATCACTGTGAAAACCATCCACTGCATGGCTATCAGCTTCCTCCCAGTAGACTCAAATCAAGGAAAAGCTATATGAGAACCACCACTTCTCTTAAGGTTCCCCCAACAACATCAAGATTATCCCTCTGGACAACTAAACTAGGAAATCCCAAATGCATGGTCCCCCATGAGGGTCTGCTTCCAGGAGCAAACCAAGAATGGTCACTGGGTTGTTGTGAGTTTTCCAGGCTATATAGCCATGTTCCAGAAGCGTTCTCTCCTGACGTTTCACCAGCATCTATGGCTAGAATCTTCAGAGGTTGTGAGGTCTATTGGAAACTAGGAAAATAGGGTTTATCTTTCTGTGGAATGTCCAGGGTGGGAGAAAGAACTCTTGCCTATTTGAGGTAGGTGTGACTGTTTCAATTGACCAAGAATGGTCAACTTGGAAGTCCCTGAACAGACTCAGAAGTGGAGTGGACAGATCAAAAGACACCCTGGCTAAATGGAACTATCTAAAAGAATCTTTCACCCTGTGCGATTGTGGAGCAGAACAAACAACTTTACACCTGTATACTTGTCCACAATGCCCTGCCTCATGCACAGAGGAAGAATTGTTTAAAGCTACAGTCGCTGTTGCCCGGTTTTGGCCAAAAATTATTTAGCCGCTTGTGCTCTTTCTGTTTTTATTAGTTTTATACTTATGTATGCAATGCTTTTGACACAATATAAATAAATTCTATGATTCTATGAGGTTTGGTTGGGAGCCAAGCTAATAGCGGATTCCCCTTTTTCCAGTGGAGAATGAAATGAAGGCGTGAAGACAGCTTCACCTGGTGCATCAACCATGTTTACATTAGAACCCTGGTTTCCTAACAGCAATTGGCTTATGAACAGCTGCAGCTGGGGTACAAGGCCCCCTACCCCAGCATGGGTCCCATCTATACTGATTGTTTAATTCAGTTTGAAGCTAGATTCCAGCTGCCTTGAAGCTAGTTTCAAACTGCAGCAGCCAGTCAACAAACTCCCACAAAAGAATTTGGTTCCCTTTATCTGTTCAACTCTTAGACCTCTGAATGAAACAAGGGTTTCTGATCTTCACATCTAATAAGAGCAATAAGAAAATGTCCTTCTCTAGCTAAATCAGGTTGTTGAAATGGAAAAGATAACCTGGAGGAAAAGGGCTGTGACCTCAACTCACTTGTGGTGTTCAAAATAAATTCCTGGGTTCATAATGTGTTCTGAGGCATGCTGTTATTTAATTCTCCATCTTTTGGTTAGACTGTAGAAGCTGGATCTTGAAGTTCAATTAAAAATCAGATTAGATCTAGAAGTCCTGATGTCTGTGTATTTTTGACTTTGTAATACAAAGAGTTGACTCATATCAGGCAAGACTCTGTCAGAGTCTTCTTATTTGCATTTTTGGCTATTCTGGCACTGCTACAGCATCCTCTATAAATGTCAAAGTTATACTTTTGGGCAATCTGGTTTTACTTCAAAATTAATTGGCTAACCATTCAGAGCTAGGAGAGGTTGCTGTTGTGGCTTTAAATCATGTATATATTGTCGAGAGCTTTCATGGCCGGAATCACTGGGTTGTTGTAGGGTTTTTTCGGGCTATATGGCCATGTTCTAGAGCAGTGGTTCTCAACCTGGGGTCCCCAGATGTTTTTGGCCTTCAACTCCCAGAAATCCCAATAGCTGGTTAACTGGCTGGGGTTCCTGGAAGTTGTAGGCCAAAAACATCTGGGGACCCCAGGTTGAGAACCACTGTTCTAGAGGCATTCTCTCCTGACTTGCCATAGATACAGGCGAAACATCAGGAGAGAATGCCTATAGAACATGGCCATATAGCCCGAAAAAACCTACAACAACCCATGTATATATTATTGTCTTTTTACCTTCAAGTCACCTATCAGCTGATGATAACCCTATGAATCTCATAGGAGTTTCTTAGGTAAGGAATACTCACCCGTTCTTTACTTTTGCTTTAGAGACATGAGTATATAAAATGGAAGGAACCACAAGTATATGACATGGTTTTTATTTCAATTTTCTTTTGATTTTTTGATTTAAGACTTACCTTGCCACAAGCTGCCATGGAAAGGGCCAACTGGTACCACAGATGAAATTCACCAAAAGCAAGTTTCATTGCTCGCTCCAGGCACTGTTGTGTTGGGAAGAGATGGAAATATACACATAAGTAACACAGAATCATAGAGTTGGAAGAGACCTTGTAGGCCATCAAGTCCAACCCCTGACAAGAAGCAGGAAAATCACATTCAAAACACCCCCGACAGATGGCCATCCAGCCTCTGTTTAAAAGCCTCCAAAGAAGGAGTCACCACAACAACAGGAGTTTCTGAACACATACATACAAAGCAATAAGTTCAACAGAATTTATTATTCCAATTTCCAGGTAGCTGGAAAAGTGAATGTTTGGGGCTAGAGAGAATTGAAAATAAATTAGTAATAGGGTGGGATGGAAAAAATGGGCAGGCAGTGGTATACATGCAAGGTATATATGCTAGTTGTGTATAAAATTACCTTCAGGCTATGAGTATAACATGTATATGAAACACAAATGAATTTAATGTTTAGACTTGGGTCCCATCTCCAAGATATTTCATTATGTATACAAAAATAATCCAAAATCTGGAAAAAAAATCTTAACTACATAACACTTTTGTTCCCATGTATTCCAGATAACAGATACTCAACCTGTAAAATAGTTATAACTGCACTGTGTAGCTATAGTTACATGTTGTAAGATAAGGAACTGTAGGGAGTGCGTGAGAAAATGGAATAATGGGAGAGAGCAGTGATTGATAGACTTTCTAAGGGGATTTTGAAAAAGCGGATATATGACAGTTGGTTAGGAGTGTCAGAATAGTTTGTCAGGATTAGGTGTTATGGAGTGGGATTTAAGAGACTGAGTTGCTGGGAGAGATGGAGTCAAGGTCAGAGACAGAAAAGAATTTGATCAGACATACAGAAGAATTAAAGTCAGAGTTTGTTAGGATATGAAAGACAGGGATGTGATTTACCTGTATTAAATAATGGATCTGTAATGTGATGTTCAAATTCTGTTCAATAAACAGAATATTTGTACTGGACAGTTGAATTCTGATATGATGTCTGTAGTGGCAGTAGTTAATAGAGAGTGGTGATGGGCCAGTGGGCATAAAATATTTTTTACAATTTTCATACAAGAACTAGAAAGGTATCAAGGAGATGCTCATAGAAATTCTCATAGAATTACAGAGTTGGAAGAGACCATAAGGGCCATCCAGTCCAACCACCTGCCATGTGGAAGACACAATCAAAGCACCCTGACAGTTGACCTTCCAGCCTCTGATTAAAAACCTCCAGAGAAGGAGACTCTACTACACCCCTCAGAGTTGGTGACTATAGAGCAGTGGGACAGGAGAAGGTCCTCACATGGAAGAGAGGGGGCACCACAATTTAAGGGAAAAGTTGGTAAGTTGGAAAGTGTCCAAAGAAGGGCGACTAAAATTGTCAGGTTTTACAATGTATTGTAATGTAATATAGCTGAGTCATGCACTGCAAATGGGCTTCTATTGGAAATGCTGTGTCATGCATTAACTGTATATAGGAAATCATTTGGGGAATGTGTTCTGGCCTAGTCCAGGTGATTGTGAATGATGTAATCCTGGGTCTGAGTTAAGTTAATGAGTTGGGAACCAATCAGAGATTGCTATGTGTACTTGTATAGAATTGTATATAAGGAAGTCATGTACAGTGTATATTTCTCCTTGTGCTGTGATGTTGTTCGTCGAAGGCTATATGTAATTAAAAGTACCCGTCTGCTAAGACAAGATATAACTGTATGCTGTGGTAAGTTTGTAATATCATCTAGACTGGGGGAAAGACAATGGTAAAACTAACAATGGCCGGGCATGTGCTCAAGTGTATGTAAAAGGTTCCAGAGTGACTGCAGGCTGTGGGAGCAGTTGACTGAAAATACTGTGCAGGAAGAAGCTACTGGAAAGCGCTGAAGTTGTGCAACTGATCTGCTGCTGAATTGTGAAGTTAATCTCAACAAAAATGATCAAGGGTCCAAAGGACAAGCCCTATGAGGAGTGGCTTAAAGAGCTAGGAATGTTTAGCCTGCAGAAGAGAAGGCTGAGAGGAGACATGTATAAATATGTGAGGGGAAGTCATAGGGAGGAGGGAGCAAGCTTTTTTTCTGCTGCCATCGAGACTATGATGCAGAGCAATGGCTTCAAACTACAAAAAAGGAGATTTCACCTGAACATTAGGAAGAACATTAGGAAGAGCTGTTCAGTAGGGTAACTCTCTGCCCCAGAGCGTGGTAGGGTCTCCTTCTTTGGAGGCCCCTTCTTTGGATGGCCATCTGTTGGGGGTGCTTTGAATGTGATTTTCCCTCTTCTTGGCAGGGGGTTGGGCAGGGTGGTCCACTCTATGATTCTATGGTTCTAGGTGGGGATAAGGGGAAGCCCTCTCATTTGGGATGAGTGGCAATCCAAACACTTGGAGGCAGCAAAGTGAAAGGTAGAACCTTGTCTTGCTGCCTACATCTCTTGTATCCCCAATTTGCACCTGACTATTCAAAAATAAATGAGATGTAGTAAGCATAGAGTCTGCGTTTCCATGTTATGAACTAGTTCAGACCTACAAAAGGTTACTGGGGTGGGGGCAACAACCCTCCAAATCCCCCAGTCAACATAGCCGAGCTTGGTGGGAGAATATAGGTGTTTTAGCCCCAAAAATCATTTTCAAGCTGCAAAGCAATGCATCATACGAGAGAAATTGAGAGCACTGCCTTGGTTAAAAAATAGGACAAACTAGGAGGACCAGATACCTCAGAAAGCATGACATACTGCCCTCTTCTGCCCAACGTGATACTTAGAAGGTCGTAAACTGCTGATGCATCCCGGAGACTGACGGCTCGATCATCCTTCTGGTCAGGAGCCCGGCTAATTACAGCATCCTGGTTTGCCTGAGGGAGAATTCAGAATAATAAAATAGAAAGGGGGTCCAAGGAGGTGAGCGGGTCTAGTGTTAATGAAGGGGGAATGCCAAATAACTTGAGAAAGGTCTTCACTTATGTACCACATGTCAAAGCAAGCAAGCGCTGCACCAACCTACGCATTCTTCTGGAGGAGACTAATTCAGGAAGGCAGAATACATTCACAGAAAGTCCAGGAAACCATCCCTTCTGATTATCTCTCAGCCACATCAGACGAGAGATGACAAAGGCCTCTAAGGCCAGGTTCTCCGAGGCCCAGGGGCCACACTTAAATGGTGTGCCCAATTACTGCAGTCGCCTGTATCTTTGCTAAGGCAGCCACATCAAAATGAAAGCAATGCTATTCCAGGTTACTCTTTGATTTGAAAAAAAAACTCAGGCTTGGAATAAGACTCCTACTGTTCCCTTGTGAAATGTTATGCTGTTCTCTGAACTGTCACTCAAAAAAACATGATCTCAAAAATCAAATGGTAGCGTTTCTGACAACTGTGTGGCACATCATTTCTATCCTGTGCAGTGCTTTCAATACAAAATAGTCCAGGGAAGCAGGGCTGCAGAAAACCCTCCTCACGTTGAAGGTTTGGGAAGAAATCTATATAAATAAAAATGTAATGTTCGTTTGTGGGATTAACATAACTCAAAAACCATTGGACGAATTGACACCAAATTTGGACACAATATACCTATCAGGCCAATGAGTGACCATCACTAATAAAAACACTGAAAACCACAGTGGAAGGGACTTAAAAGGCCGAAAAAGATACTACAGCGCAAGTGCAAAAACAACTTCGCCCGGCAAACAAACGACACAATAGCATATCCACACTCTGTTCCAGAGTACAGCTCCCAGCATCCCCTAGACCAGGCCCTTGAGGAGAGGAGGAGGATCCAAATGCACTGCTTCAAAGATGCAAGCTTTCTTCTACTTGGATTTCTTTGAGAGCATCCCAATTCCTGCATATTTCCAATTTCCTATTCCTGGACTGCAACTCCCAGCAATCCTCCAGATAGATAGATTAGATGGAGATAGGTAGGTAGGTCGATCGATCTGGAGGACTGCTGGGAGTTGCAGTCAAAGAATAGGTAGAGAAGGAAGAAAGGGGAGAAAGGGGAAGGGAAAGAAAAGAGGGAAGGAAGGGATGAGGGAGAGAAGGAAGGAAGGAAAGAGAGAAGGAAAGAAAAAAAGGAAGGGAGGAAGGAGGAAGGGAAGGAAGGAAGGAAGGAGAGAGAGAGAGAGAGAGAGGAAAGTTGGCCACAGCAATGCATGGCGGGTACAAATAGTAAAAAAGATCACAACTTGATATGTAGAGGCACAGCACCCCAAGACCTTTTTGAGTTTGGTATGGCACCAATCACCCCAACTCCAAGGAGAATCTCTGACACCCATTCATGCTTTCTCCAGAAAAGGCTATTTAAGGAGTATAAAGGTTCAGAAATATCTAATCCGACCACCCTTCTTAAATGCTCTGTTCCTGGAAGGCTTTTACTGGAACAACAGTTTCCTCTTTCTGGAGAACTTCCAGTCAAGGAATCCCTACAGAAGATGATTCAAGGTTTCTGCGTGGTCTGTGCCTCTAATGTGAAAGGCCTCTGCAACCCCATAATTTCTAGAATCCTTGTCAGCATCATGGCCAAAGGCTAAAAGCTGTCTAGAGACATAGAAATGATTAATTTGAATTTAGCAGTCCCTGCTAGACAGCTTCACATCAGTTTGGCAAATCAAGGCTGGAAAGAGATAGGTGGATGAGGACAGAGCTGGGAAATAAACTTTTCTGTTGCCAAGCTGCTTGTGCTGTTCCCAGGGCTATTGGGATGAGAAGGTAAAAGCCAGAGGTTGACCGCAAGGCCAAAGCAAGCTTAGAACTAAAGGGAAAGTATAATCAAGGGGAAAATGTAGAATTTGCAGAGCTATACTCTTAGAACCTCAAATAAAAACAGGTTGATGCATTATCAGAACATTATGACCCTACTGTTGACTAACTGGCTCCATGTCTAAGCAAGAATAGCAACCTGAGATGTACATAAAAGATTAAGTTTGAACAGTTTTTACTTGGTGCTAGCTTAGTAATTTTCCATTAAGGCTTAATTACTGGCTAATATATTTCCAAAATCTTGCTATGGTTTGCTATATGGTGCTGTATTTTGTTGCTAAGTAGATTTTCCAAAATTGCTCTAGATGATGTGTGTGCTTGCTCCAGGGACAAATTGCTCAGATATTTTTCTGACATCTGGGCCAGCACTGTGTCATTGGACAAACTATGTCTCCATTCATGAACCCAAACTGGGCAGGTTTCCCTCTTTGGTGTGTCAGGTCCTCACATTTCGATTCTCTTTCCTTGTGTGCTATATAAAACTTGAGAGCAAGCGTACCTTTTGGGAGGGTGCATCACACCCTAAGGAATCTGTTAGCCAGCCATAGGGATCAAGAGCAGTATGTGTGAAAAAGATCTTGGGGTCCTCATGGACAACAAGTTAAACATGAGCCAACAATGTCATGGGGCGACAAAAAAAGCCAATGGGATTTTGGCCTGCATCAATAGGCATATAGTGTCCAGGGAAGTCATGCTACCCCTCTATTCTGCCTTGGTTAGACCACACCTGGAATATTGTGTCCAATTCTGGGCACCACAATTGAAGAGAGATATTGACAAGCTGGAATATGTCCAGAGGAGGATGACTAAAATGATCAAGGGTCTGGAGAACAAGCCCTATGAGGAGTGGCTTAAAGAGCTGGGCATGTTTACCCTGAAGAAGAGAAGGCTGAGAGGAGACATGATAGCCATGTATAAATATGTGAGAGGAAGTCATAGGGAGGAGCGAGCAAGGTTGTTTTCTGCTGCCCTGGAGACTAGGACGCAGAGAAATGGCTTCCATCTACAAGAAGGGAGATTCCATCTGAACATTAGGAAGAACTTCCTGACTGTGAGAGCTGTTCACAGTGGAATGTGGTGGAGGCTCCTTCTTTGGAAGCTTTTAAACAGAGGCTGGATGGCCATCTGTCAGGGGTGATTTAAATGCAATATTCCTGCTTCTTGGCAGGGGGTTGGACTGGATGGCCCATCAGGTCTCTTCCAACTCTTTGATTCTATGATTCTATGATTCAACACATGCATTTTACACCTCTCTTCATCCATGAAAACACTATGCATTTCAATGTTTGCAATAGCACATACTTGATGGAACAGACCGTCCTTGAATAAACTACCATCTTCCATCTGGTTTTGCAGCATCTAGATTACCTTTCCACAAGCTGCTTCTCTCTAACACACCTGAAGGGTTCCAGAGTACAACAAGTGCATTCAGAACTTGGAAATATTTGTTAAAAATTGATTCATTAATCCTAACTTGATAACATGTTCAACAGCAGCTTTGGAGGGAACTGTTTCAAATGTTAAATCATTATGGAATACTGATTTCTGTTCCTTGATACTTTAACATGTCTCTGGTTTCTTCCAGTAATTTAATTTTTAAAAACAGTAATTATAAAAAGGTAATTTAAAGACCTCACCATTTAGCAAAATATATAAAATTAAATATATTTTACCTATCTCCCTCTATGAACCACTAAGGACCTTGAGATCGTCCATCGCAGTCACGTTTGGTGGAGACAAGAGACAGGGCCTTCTCCGTGGTGGCCACTGGGCAGTGGAATTCCCTCCCTAATGAGATCAGATCTGACCCCTCACTCCTGACCTTCCAGAAGAAACTCAAATCCTGGATGTGGTATCAAGCATTTGCAGAATAGACTGACTTGCTGGAAAAGGCAACGCTTTTAATGGACAACAATGGACTGTCTGATTACAATTTGAACCAGCAAATTGTTTTAATGTATATTAACTTGTGCTAATTGTATTTTATGCTATGCTTTATTCTGTGTTGGTAGCTACCCTGAGTCCCTCTTCGGAGGTCGAGAAGGACAGGATACAAATGCCCCCAAATAAATAAATAAATAAATAATTTTCTTAACAGTGTAACATGAATAGATTTCCTGTAAAATTCACAATTAACATATCATCGAATGTGGCGCTGACACAAATGTTTCCAATTACCAAGAGCATCGATTCCCAGCAAATAATCTCATAACCTTGTTGTACTGTGATGATTTTTCAAAAATGTAATTGTAGCTTCGTTTTAAAGGTGTACTTAGTGCCAACTGTAAGCAATTGGTCTTAAGAATATTAGTTCGTCTGGAAAGAGGAAAACAGGGGAGGGATGGTTTCTGAAATCAACTCAAGGTACACAAACATGGTTTTAGAAAATTGTCTTTAGACCAGCTTTAAGCTATTTTGGATGTTCTCAAAAGTGAAACAGAAGAAACATGAGTGATTGTGTGGTTGAAGTGTGTGGATTTTGTTATTTTAATGTTTATATTGATATGTTTTTATTCCATGTTTTAATGTTAAATGATGTTTTGTTTTATTATTTAATTGATAATTGTATATTATTATCGTTATGTTAGGTTTCTGTATGTGAGGCATTACATTTTGCCATAACTGTGTTGGAAATCGCTTTGAGTCCCTCGCTGGGGTGAGAAAAGCGGTATACAAATGAGGTAGGTAAAGTTAAAGGCTTTCCTCTGACATTGAGTCCAGTAATGTCCGACTCTGGGGGCTGGTGCGCATCTCCATTTCTAAGATGAAGAGCCAGCATTGTCCGTAGATGCCTCCAAGATCATGTGGCCAGCATGACTGCATGGAGCACCATTACCTTCCCACCAGAGTGGTACCTATTGATCTACTCACATTTACATGTTTTCGAACTGCTAGGTTGGCAGAACTATAGGTGTGGAAGTAACCTCAGTGGCCATCTAGTCCAACCCACTACCATATACAAAATAACCTCTGGGATTGGGAATATTTGCTGAAATACACAGCCAATTGTGAGTTGCTTACTCCTGCCCTGATAGAAAAGGAATGCAAAAATGAACTAAATGCAAAGGATGGGAAATAAAAAGTCTTTTTAGATTTGGT